AAACAAAAACCATGAGGACAACCCTGAAAAACTGTGATCTAGTTTGTCCATAGCTAAAGGGGTATGAATGTGTAGGCTATTTTAATAATGAAGGTTTAAGAAGTTCCAGAAGCCTTTTCTTCTGAGACACATGGTACTTTCTTCTGGTTACCATAAATCGTAGAATATAACATGTCATCAGTGGTAAGATGGGTTATTATTTTCCACACCTACAAGAAAGAAAAAATAAGTTGTCAACTAAAGTATAGTGTACCATCAATTGTCAGGTCGCAGAGATTTCCTACATGTTCAAATGTGGGGGAAGAAATACAGTAAGCCTTCAAAAATTACTATTTGTTTTAAAAATATAAAGAAAAATTGATCTTAGATTCTGTGACATACAGCGAATTCATTTTCCACATTCAATTTCCACAGTTAGTGCTGGTGTGCTGTTCTGCACTTTAGTCAACTTACATGTTTGCATAGTGCTTTTTAAATGGTCGTAGCTAGTTTCACAGATCTGTGATGTGCATCTGCAGCTGGCTTGTAAAGCTCTTCTTTGGTTACCGCCCACCCCCGCGTCCCTCCCACACATATAAGCCATTCAGAGTTTACCACTTAAAGATAAACTTGAATTTCTTCTCATCTTAAAATTTCATAAATTATATTAAATTCTCCATAAATTTATTTACATTTAGTGGGGGTGGGGCGCGATGAAAAAAACACTATATTAAATAACGACCTCGCTTTTTAACACCCATCCTAGTAGAAACGTTAACATCGGATGGGGTAGGGAGGAGGGGTGGAGGCGGAGAAGGGATGTACGTCTCAGGATACAGGAAATACGGTAAGAGCGAAACAGGAGGAAGCCAGCTCAGTGCCTGGAGGGGACCCGCCGCCATCTCAGGTCTCTTGGCTTTGCCAGGGCCCACCGGAGAAAACTGACGCCCTGTTTCTATAATCCTTATGGGAGACCAACCTTGTGCCTCCGGGAGATCCACTCTCCCACCTGGAAACACACGGGAAGCCAAGCCTCCAAAAAAGCGCTGCCTCCTAGCTCCGCGGTGGGATTATCCAGAAGGAACTCCCAACGGAGGTAGTACCACTCTCCCCTCCGCACCTCCTCCTCCATCAGCCGGCCTGAAGTCGCACCCTCCTCCTCCGGAGAAGTAGAGAAATAAATCTCTCCCACCCCAAACCAGGTCAGATTCTTTCTCATCTAGGACACCTAGGCTCTTTGAAACTTATTATGCATTCTCAAAGATCTCCTTCCCCTTTTCCCTGTTCTTTCCACGATTTCAAAATAGAAGAAATAACATGCAGGCATTAAGCAGCTCTTTCACAAAATATGCTTGAATGAAATGATGCATATTTAATGACATTAAATAATTATTTTTAATATTTTAGATGAAGTAATTGTAGTTATATTTTCTAAGACATAGACTTGAATCTTTTGATTTGTTTGAAAGTAATTCATTGCTGCCAAGGTGGAGGGAAGGTATAATAAAAATGTTCATGAGTTGATAATTTAAAGCTGGGTGATGTATTTGTGGGAATTTATTATACTATTCTCTCCACTTTTGCGTGCATTTGAAAAATTTTTATTTTAAAAAAATGCCTGGTTCAAGACCAATAACAAGCATCTATTGAAACAAGCATCTTTTGCGTGCATTTGAAAAATTTTTTATTTAAAAAAAAATGCCTGATTCAAGACCAATAACAAGCACCTATGTCCAGAACTGTGTTAACAGAGGGAAGTGTAAGGTGAGCCTTCAGAAGTGTACGTCTTTCTCTGTGTAAGGCAGGAGAGTTAATTATATATATATTTTAAGCTACAATGTGTTAGTCAAATCCAAGTGCCATAACATTTGCTTGTTCAAGGTATTCAGGAAGCGTGGAGGATGGACCAAGTCACTGCCTGGTAGTAATCATGAGCCATCAACGACAAAAAAAAAGAGTGGGGGGCAGGCGTGGTGGTGCAGGCCTATAATCCCAGCCCTTTGGGAGGCCGAGGTGACCAGATCGGGTCAGGAGTTCGAAACTAGCCTAGCCAACATGGTGAAACTCCGTCTCTACTAAAGTTACAAAAATTAGCCGGGCATGATGGTGGACGCCTGTAATCCCAGCAACTCTGGAGGCTATGGCAGGACGATCGCTTGAACCTGGAAGGCAGAGGTTGCAGTGAGCTGAGACTGCGCCA